AAATCATCTGTTACATCACATTCCAATGAATAATGAACAAGAAAAAAAGCATATAAATTAATAACTAATCATATGAAAACATCATGAAATAATATATTCAAGTACTACTCCTCTATTAATTGAATCAACATTTAAACAATATAGTATTATTATAATATATAAACAGAAAGATAAGAGATTAATTGTTAATTTAGAATATACAACAAGAATAATTAATGAAGATAAAAGAAATCTTAACATTTCATATTTTTCATCAATTAAAACACATGAACCACAAAATGATTTAATTTACATTTATAAAATAAAATAAATAAAATTGTAATTTATTAATAAATAATTCATAATACACAACATCAAATAACATATAAAATAATATAAAAATAATAAATTAATATAACCATTTCATTTGAATTTTTAAATCAAGAAAGAATAAAGTAAAATAACAAATAACAAGAATAATAGAAAAGAATGAAAACTATATTTTATTTTCTTTACTAAAAATTATATCATTCACTATAACATCTTTACTATTTTATTTATTATATTAACACTAACTACAGTTTACTTACATACTACATCATATTTCTACTGCTGTAACTAATTAAATTTAATCACAAATGTTAATTTTCATAAAGTTCATTCCACTTTATTTTTATTTTTGATTTTATTTAATTGATTTATGATCTTTATTTACTTACAAATTACAAGGTTGTTGTTTTATTTTCACCACCAATCACTTGGACTTATTATATTTTTACTAATATACAAAGTAGTGAACTCTTTATTATAACTAATGAATCACTGGTCTGCTGACAACGAAAATCCTTTTTGAGAGCTAAAAAAGATTAAATGGATAATAGTTTTTTAAAATTCCGCATGTTGAGAAGTTCTAAGCTTTATTGTTAAATATAGTTCTATTTCTTATAAAACAATTCTTTAAAACAAAGAAACTTAATAATAGCATTTTTTTAAGAAGAAAACATAAAAAAAAGATAAAAAGTAGTTAATTAAGTATTAATAGAAATATCTTCTATTGTTCCTTGCTCAGGGGAGACTAATCCCATCCCTTCGCTTAAAAGTATTTGTTCTTCAACTTTTGGCTTATTCTTTGCTTTTAGTTGTTGAACGGTGAGAATTTTCTTTTCTCATTTTTGATGTGGAATAGAGTATTTTAGACATCCCTTATTTAAATATTCATTATTTAATTTCTTTTTAATTTCGATGGGTTTAAATTTCTTCTTCTTTAGGTTTAAATTCTTCTTCTTTAGGTTTAAATTCTTCTTCTTTGGGTTTAAATTCTTCTTCTTTGGGTTTAAATTCTTCTTCTTTGGGTTTAGATTTCTTCTTCTTTATTTTCTTATTTTAAGGAGAGTATATAATTACCACTGTATTGCTTTGGGCTAATATTCTTTTAGCCTCAACCACTTGACCCTTTTCCTTTGATAATCTTTCTTATATTATCAATTATACTTGTATTCTAACAAGTAATAATAACATCTTTATAAATACCCATTCGTTTATTGTCAATGATATTCTGTCATTGTACATAATAAACACTGCTATTCTTGCAGTACCGGGTAAGATGTTTTTCTAACCAAACGCTACGTCATAACCAGTCCATAACTGGTGGGAATCGAAGGACGGAAATATTTTAGGGTTCTGTGTGGTGTCTTTGACGTGCTACCTTCGAATCCCGAAGAAAACATAAAAAAAAGAATAAATTAATAAAAACAATATTATTATTAGTTTTTAAAAACAAAAAGAATTGCATTATCTATAAAAATTCAGTTACATGAACTTTAGTGATGGAATAGATGAAGTTATTGAGACTATTGAATCAAGTGATGGATGGACAAATATTTATAACAACGAAACAAATTGTTATTCAAAGAATGAATATAAAAATACCAAATATTTCATTATTCGAAGTAAAATTATAATGAATATACGAAGTGAACAATTATTTGAATTAGTTAGTGATCCAATGAATCAAAGCCTTTATGACCCAAGTGTTAATTATTCAAGAAATGAAGGAAATAATGAGTATTGTATTGATCTATCACTTCCAATACAATTTTGTCTTCCAAAAGTATTTAAACTAACAAATATGATAACAGATACAATTCAAATAAGTATTCGATATTATTTATCAAAAGGAATATTAAAAAGAACAATATTTGCAATAAAAAAACGGAAAGAAGGAAGTGAATTTATTATTATTGAAGAATTTGAAGAGAAAACAATAGAAGAGAAAACAATTCCTTTTCTAAATACCGTTCTAATGAAAAAACAAAATGATAATATCAATGAATATTTTAATAGAAATATTGATTCAAAAAGAGTATATGAAATGGAAAGAAATTTATTTAATACAATGATACAAAAAGAGAAAGAATATAAAATTATTTATCATGAAAATAAAAAAGTTAGAGTTAAAATTAATGATGAATGTACTCAATTTTATGTTCAGGGGGAAGTTATTTCTAAAAGTAGAATTATAGATATTATAACTCAATTCACACATCCTGAAAATTGGGATTTTATTTTTCCTATTACAGTTTTAATTAAAAGTAATGATAGAATAAGAACTTATCATAGAGAGTCATTATTTTTTGGTGATAAAGTTACTATTGATCAAAGTATAAGTTATAGAATTGGTGATAGTTTTGGAATAACCTCTTTTCAAACAGAACCAAAACAGTGCCAATATGATCACTTTAATCAATGTAATATTACAGGTGGAGCATTTATAACATCTGTTTCAAATATTCAAAGAATACAATATGGATATTTATTTATATTACAATGTTTAAATAATATTGATATTAATGAAAGAAAAAAAATTATTTATAATTTAACTATTATGAACCTTGCAATTCATGCATTCTTTTCACAACCATCTTCAAATTTATTGTTTATTCAAAATAAACTTCTTAATAGAAATGAAATTGCAAATCAATTATTAGCAAAT